ACATTCAAGTTACTTTTTGCATCATATAGAATATCTTATGGCCTATTTATTACCTTATACCTTACCTTATAATAATAAAACATAACTCAGGGTATAAGTTAAAACAAGACAATTTTTTTTTATTCAATAGGCTAACCTGATTAATTATGATAACATAGGCCTACCAGTTGGTTGTGTTTGAAATTTTAATAAACTTAGGCCTAAGTTAGGTAATGATTTTGTATACAGGGTTAGTAGTAAAAAGTATGGAGACCCCCTGTTATTTTTTTAACGGCCCATACTAGAAAAACTAAACTCTGCACACCTTTATGACATGTTATGAAGTACTTTTTGGGCATAACCGTCACTTGGTGTACATCCCCAAAATGGGGGATTTTGGGGGAAACTCAAAAAATTCAAATACAAAGACCCATCGAATTGAGACCCCTCATTTTGAAGGTCCTGGTAAAAGAAAACCAACAACGCAAACTAGAGGTCTTTATCTCAATCCAGAAAAAAATGGCAGCCAATTGAAATTCTCAGAAGTTCAATTTAACTTACAGCTTTCCAAGTCTGGAGACCTGCTTTAAATTTTGTAGCGGCTCACACTAGGAAAACTAAACTCTACACACCTTTTTGGCATGTTATGAAGTACTTTTTAAGCCTAATAGCCACTTACTTTCCAAACCCAAAATGGGGGGTTTGGGGGAAACTCAAAAGTTTTAAATGATAAGCCCCATCGAGTGACCCTTCATTTTGAAGGTCCTGGTAAACGAAAACTAACAACGCAAACGAGAGGTTTCTATCTCAATCCAGTACAAATTGGAAGCTGATTGAAATCTTTAGAAATTGGAAATAACTTGCAATTTTATATTCAATTGGCTGCCATATTTTACTGTGTTAAGATAGAGACCTATAGTTTGCGTTGTTACTTTTCTTTTAATATGACCTTCAAAATGAGGGGTCACTCGATGGGGCTTATCATTTAAAATTTTTGAGTTTTCCCAAAAATCCCCCATTTTGGGTTTGGGAACTTATGAGAATTTCAATTGGCTGCCATTTTTTACTGGATTGAGATAAAGACCTCTAGTTTGCGTTGTTGGTTTTCTTTAACCAGGACCTTTAAAATGAGGGGTCACTCGATGGGTCTTTGTATTTGAATTTTTTAGTTTCCCTCAAAATCCCCCATATTGGGGATGTGCACCAAGTGACGGTTATGCCCAAAAAGTACTTCATAACATGTCATAAAGGTGTGCTGAGTTTAGTTTTTCTAGTATGTGCCGTTAAAAAATAACAGGGGGTCTACACACTTTTTACTAACCCTGTATAAATATATCACCTTTATTATCTATATATTAATTTGAAACTGTTTTTCTTTGTGACAGCTAATTTGAGAGAACGGCTAGGCGTAGAAACTCGGTAGAGGTGTCTAAAGAAAGGTCTTGGTCTGTAGATGAGCCATCAAAAGAGAAACGTGGTAAATTCCCTTGGGGCTCTGCCCCAGTGGCCTTTAAATTCCCATCCCATGTTATTCATATGGGGGAAAAACGGGGTTTTGTCACAGCTAATTTCAGAGAACGGCTGGGCGTAGAAACTTGGTAGGGGTCTCTAAAGAAAGGTCTTGGTCTGTAGATGAGCCATCAAAAGAGAAACGAGGTAAATTCCCTTGGGGCTCTGCCCTAGAGGCCTTTAAAGTCCCCTCAGCAGATTTGTTTACATTATGGCCATATGTATAATTTTACACTACTTTTTAATGAAACAGCTGTTAATATTTAAATTGTAATTTATTGAATTTGTCAAAAGAAATGAAGTATTTGCAAAGGTTTTTTCTGATTTTAAAACCGATTTTCTTCTGCATCGTGTCATGTTTTGCAATATGATGTTGTAATGTTATAATGTGCAATCCAAATCAGTGGAAAATCCTAATATCACAGTAACTCTTAGAATATTTCTTATGGAGTTAACTTATGTTTATTGTATGGGTTGGTTTCTGCCTTTTTTTATCACTTCTTGGAGATTGTACGTAGGCGTGTTGCACTTAGATGATGTTCTTTGGCGTATTGCATATGTAGAAATAATGTTTTTTTGCTCATTCATAATCGTTATTATAGAGAACCTAATGCGGCTATGAGCGGGAAACAATTTGTAGAAAACTCTAAAAAACAAGATTAGCTTTTTAAAAAAGATAAGATAGGATAGATCCTATTTACAAACAATTTTGATTATATCTAACTGTTGTGTACATCGTGAGTATTTCCATAATCTTTGAGTCGACTTTTATAAAGTCCTCGGAAATTATGACCGTTATTCGTTTTAAAATAACGCATGTAATGATTCGCAATTGCTCGAATTCGAGCAACAGGTACACTAGTTTGTTTATTATTTGTAAAATAAAACACACTATTTCAACTGCAAGACAATGTATGTTTTAATTTAGTCGATATCTAAATAATTCAATTGTCTAAATAAAGTTCAAGTTTCATTTTCCTTTTTTATTTTCCACAGCTAGTTTTCTATTGTTTACACTTGTTACACCATTGTTAAATGAATGGTTTTTTATGTAATTTTGACACCTTTGTCTCTCAATTAATTGTTGTTGATGTTGTTGATAAGCTCCAAGAGGGCAAGCCGGGCCTAGGGTATCCATATGCTGGTATGCGTATGCTGGTATCCATATGCTGGTATGCGTATGCTGGTATCCGTATGCTGGTATGCGTATGCTGGTATCCATATGCTGGTATGCGTATGCTGGTATCCATATGCTGGTATGCGTATGCTGGTATCCATATGCTGGTATGCGTATGCTGGTATCCATATGCTGGTATGCGTATGCTGGAATCCATATGCAACTATCGATATGCTGGAATCCATATCCCGCTATCCATATGCCGCTATCCCTTTGCCGCTATCCATATGCTGGTATCCGTATGCTGGTATCCATTTGCCGCTATCCATATGCTGGTATCCGTATGCTGGTATCCATATGCCGCTATCCATATGCCGGTATCCTCAAGCACCCCTTATCCTCTGGGAGCTTATACTGGTGTTAGGGGAGTTGGGAATGTATCATTCCCCGCAGTATGTACAGTGTGGCCCAGGTCGTCCAGTGGCATGGGGCGACCCAGGCACCGAATCCAAGATAAAAAACATAACATAGCATCAGTCCGATCATTTTTACTTGAATTTATCTAACTTGAAATTTTGAATGTGTGTTTAATTGTTTGTGTCTAAGTTACATTGATTTTTTTTAATTACCACGGTAACCCTGCGATGTAACAGTTTGGGTATGGAGAATGGATCAATGTATTTTTGCAAGGGCATGCAACACAAATTTATTATATTACTAAGCCATTTACACTTAAAGGTATATTTAGTTTATATTTTAAAAGAAAAATGAATTTGTATCTATTTATTTTAAGAGTCTAATTTAATGACATGCTACAAACAGTAAAAAAAATAAACAAATCTCATCTATTGCGTTATCTATTCATATTTAATCAACATATTTACCACTTCATTTGTTTGACTATTAATATTAGGCCTAAATATAAAATATTGCTTTAGAATAAATGTGATGAAACAAAATAAGACATGGACCTTATACAGAAAGGTCAAGAAAATTAATTTTCTAAGTAGTTAATTAACATTTAAATTTTTGCATGTCATGGAAAGATAAGTGTGTGTAATGAAGCTGACAGATAACTTAAATTTGTAATCGATATCTTACATTAGTGGACGAGGGACCGGGTGGGGCCTTTCAGCGGCGACTGGTTTTTGTTTTGATTCAATCTTGAAATAGCTCAAAATCATTTTGTTTACATTTTTTAGGGAACATGGAGGATTCCAATTTGTTTCTTGATCAATATAGGCAGATAGACTGTACAATAGTTAATAGTTTTAAGGACATAAGCTCTGTTTTTAAAAGTTGCTCATACAATTTTTTCTACATGAACATTCGTAGTTGCAATAAAAATGTCGATACACTTCTATTAATGTTACAGTCAATCGATGTAAGGTTTGATTTCATAGCGCTTGGGGAGACATGGCTGGGTAGGGATGGGGGGACGGGGTTGGACATAGAGGGGTATAAATTGTATTGCACGACTCGGGGAAAAAATAAAAATGATGGGGTCATGATGTATGTGAGTGAGAGAGTGGATGTGTGTGAATGCAAGGATCTGGAGCTGGGCGACGTGCACGGACTGACCTTGGACTTTGTCCATCAAGGAACTAGATCTAACGTTCTGACTGTGTACCGGACACATGACAGTGACTTAGACAACTTTACTAACGCTCTTAGACATTACTATGAGAACAAAAATGACTGCAACACATACGTCTTCATGGGTGACACTAACGCTAACATTTTGCGACTTTCCAGAACCCCATACTATCTTTGAAAGAAACACACCTATGACCTACGAAGTAAGAGTGGGGAAAACAGCTGATCAAGTATTCTCAGCTGTTTGCAGTTGTATATGTTACCACCATTGAGTAGACCACCACCATTGTGCACTTCAACGCATGTCTGCCGATCACCGAGAACAGGGCCATGGGTAGATCTACTAGTCACTTCGAGTGGTGAACTTTTGTCCTGGGGCGTCCAGATTGTAGACCTGTTGGTACTTTCTTCCCTCAATCTTGAAAAAAGAAAGACCACTGGGATGACGGTTCCCGCCTGACACTTCGAGCGCGCTGAAAGCAAACATGTCGTTGTACGCACGGGCTCTTTCCAGGAAGTGACGATCAGAATTAAAGTGTTCTTGCAGAGATAGAACACCTCTGATTTACCTGATTTACATACTCTGATCTCTCTGACTTACCTCATCAGACAAATAAATAAAACATAAGTTAGGAATTATCTTTATGAAGACATAGAGTTAAATGTGGGCTAAGTTAACAGCCATGGGAATTTTGTAAATCTTTTTAAAGACACCACAAAAAAAAAATGAATAGACATAATGCTTTCCTGTGAGTAGTAATTGTTACAACTCCCACTCTAATGGCCTTGTTTTTTTCAGACTTCAGCGTCCACGATAGCGATGTCTGCTTTACTCTTCTCGCCCGTCATCCTGAGAAGTATCAAAAGATCAATAATCCAAGCTTGTAAAACTTACCAATTAAACACTGTATGTATTAAAACAAGTGGCTGTATCGTATTTAGTAATATTGATGACCTTTGTAATAAAATATGTCTTTATAAATACTTATTTCGTGATTTTTTCTAGCAGTAGCCATTTTTACGATAGAGCTAATTATAATGATATATTTTACTATCTACAGAACAATCTTTGTACGCAGACAGTATTTCGACAGTGCATCTTTTAAAGTTACCGTAAACATTTATCCTCAATTATATTGATTATAATTAAAATCATGTTGTACGTATTATTAAAAAATGAAGGGAAATAGAACTTTAGCAAATGTATGAAATAAAAATAATTGTCAGATAACTACATAATCCTTTTTATCACCTGGTTTAACAGTGGTTTTAAAATCTGTTGAAAAAAACCTATTTAGAATAAGTTACTGATGGTTTAATCAGTGTAATCAGGTTGAAAAGACACGGGATTGAGTATTTTTGTGATTAGTTAACGTGGAAGTGAATATTAAATAATAAATATATAATATAATTTTAATCCAAATTAATATCCTGGAGTAAAATATTATAAAATAATAAAGAAGTAAAAGAGTAAAAAAATATAAATTGATACGATAAATATACGCGTAATGCGTTTACATTGCAAGTAAAACAAAGTTGAATAAAAATCTAAAATTATTCAACTAAACAATTCAAACAGGTATCAACTTCATCACTGAGGATGTCTATAAAAGTAAGTTTAACTTAAGTCAAAACAAATCGTAATCTTATCAATATTACTATCACACAAAATTATTTCTGAACTTTAGTTCTTACTTTAAAGATATTTTCCCGACTTAAAACCATATTTTCTATTAAATGGGGAGAAATGGAGGAGTTTTGCGCAAATGATTTTTTATGCTTTTTATAGAATTTCTGCAAGGTAATGCAGTGACATTTTATCTACAACGGCCGAGTAGTTAGGAATAGTCGCTGGACAATTGGCTACTGAGTTCGAGTGACCCTTGCCTTAAAAAATTATATTGGCATGAGAAAAATTTATATAAATATATTTTGTATGTAAATAAACACTCCTATTGCGACATTATTACTTGTTTGTATCAATTTCATGTTCACTGTTTGTAACAGTTGTAATAAATCTTTCTCAATAAGAAGAATTGTTAGGTAATGATTATATAAGTATAAATAATTATACTCAAAAACTTTGGTTGACGTGTAACGGTTGATGCTGTGTACACATGACAATTAATCAAAACCATAACAATATAAATATATAAATAATTAGAAAACTTTAATAGAAAACGTTTTCGTCTTTTAAAACAGGTTTAAAATATAAAAAAAACTTGGAGATTAAAAAGAAAATGACAAGAACGTGGGTTAAATGTGTTCATAATAAAATATAAATTTCTGCTTTTTACGATTATCCAGACCTAAATTTAGATTACAGCATAACCAATGATTAGACATGTTGTTTTGTCACAATTATTACCTCTAAGCCTAAAAATTATAACCAAATTTGTAATCCGGTTCTTCTGAAGTAAATTCAAATCAGCTAAAACGAAAAAGGATATGATTAGATTTTAGAACAGTTGGTCCAAAATATAATTTAGGAAATTAAAAGATTAAGCATTAATTTTTTATTTAGTGTTTTAAATTGTAGATATAAGAGAAGAAAGAATTTATTTACCTTATAAAGAAATCTTATTTACCTACGAGGTTTAACTATAAAAATGCTCTCTAAGGGTGTATTATTAACATTTCATTATCACAGTTTTAGTTTTAATTTTAGGTATATGAGTAAAAAGAGTTTGATTCTTACCTACAAAATTTAACTTAAAAACCCCATCTTGGTGTGTAAAAGATCTTTAACAGTTGTGTAAAACATATTTTTACAGTTTTAGTTCCAACCATGACAAAAGTTTCTCGTTGGCAGTAAAATATAAAATTTACACTAAGATTAGCGCGGCAGTGTCAGCGGGTTAATGTGGTCTTATCTTGCTTCTCTTCCACCACAGAGTCGCACGAAACTGTTTGATTAAAACAAAATCCTAGCTAGCATATCTTACAAAGAATAAATAGCTTTAACATGTAATGATGATGTGCCTCCGAGTTTATTTAATTTGGAATGAATTCATCATCACAAATTTGTCCAATATTTTAGCCATGGATAAGCCTCGAGCCATAACCTTTCTTTTAATGGCTGTTAAACAAAGAACTGAATTTTAACCTACCTGGGTTAGACTGATCGTTAGTGAGTCAGACACCCTATGTTATGTTATACCATTGACTATTGGATAGTCAAATGTTGTACTAGCTGATCAAATGATAATTATTTTCTTATGGTTGTTTATGTTTTGATTATTTCAAGAAACTTTCTGCAGGTGATCCAATGTCTTTGAAATATTAAAAATAAATTGAGAAAACTAAAGAGGGAGAATTGTTATTTTAACTATAATCATTTTCTTATGATTGTTTATTTTTAGCGAATTTCCCTATAGGGAAGTAGCTATTACCGTAGGTGGCACGGTAAGACCTAGACCCGGGACCGATTTACTTTTTCATTTTGATGTCCCCAGAGGCCAAAAACACTATTCGTTCAAATTTTTATATATGTATATATATAGACTTATATATATATATATATATATATATATACGTCCGTGAACGCGATAACTTGAGTAATTTTTGTCCGATTTTGATGAAATTTGGTTTAAAGGTGTAAAGCGGGATAAACTTGAATGAGTTCGCGAACCAGCACGACCGGACCATGGGAACGGGGCTTTACGGGGGGTTTTATGGGGTAAAAATTGGTTTTTCTCACTTTTGACCCTCAAAACACAAAATTTCCCAATTTCTCTTTAGACCTTTTTAAAGAGCTTAAAAAAACAAATAATTTAGTATATAAAAGTATTTTTGTTCGATTATTAGTAACGGAGAAAATTGTAAATTTAAAATTCCCATGTTATTCTTATGGAGAATATTGTCAAATGTTGTAGTTTGCTTGTTTATGAATATATTTTAATCAAACTTGGCAAATTTATTTATTTTCTACTAAGCTATCAATATTTTACTCAAAAACACACTTTATTAGTTTCCTTGTAGCAGCAAACCTAGGTACTTGTTAAACCTAATGTTATTAAAATATATTTAACTGAAAATCAATTCAGACAAATCGAAATTCGCTTAGTCGGCAGGTTTGCTGCGGCGGGGGTATTAGATTTTACCTACGACCGTTTTATAAAGTTGCCATTTCAGTTCAGTTCTTAGAATTGAACAGTTTCACTTAACAGATGTTTACTTTCATAACAGCATAGTTTCATTTCATAACAGCATAGTTTTTCTCATAACAACACGGGTAACGGACCAATGAGGTTCAAGGATTGAGAGAAAAGAAGTAAAATTGTAATCCTTCAAACGTCAACTAATCAGCTGAACAGTTGACAATTTATATTGTTGATCCGACTTGTTCCTGTTGATACTCGCGTATTCTTAACCTAAGTTGGTGGAAGTTAAAGGAAGGTGGATTAAACTGATTTAAAAATGTCAGTTAGTGAAAGTGAAGTTGACGAGATGGAAATGAGAGCACAAAATTTATGTGCTAATCTTTTGCCACCAAAATCGAAACAAAGGTATGGAATTACATACCAGCAATTTTCATTAAATGGACGAAACAAAAATAGGTTAAATTGATAAATGAAAATGCGCTTCAGGTTTATTTTGAAAACCTCTTAACAACTTTTCACCCAACTCGTTGTGGGCCACATATTATCTAACTGCAAATTAACTGTTTCACTACATTATTCAGTAGTAAAAAAGGCAATATTTCCCTAATTGTACCTGGTATGGTAAGAATGCTGCTAGCAAAACCTATTTTCTGAAAAAGTAACGTATTATTTAGCGAAGTTTTCAAACACGTACTTACATGAAATCAGCTGATTATACAATAGGCCTAAGTCGTTGCATTACTTTCAGTGGCGACTTTTTGTTCTCAATTGGCCCTCTATCAATGACCTGTGTTGCCTGTACAGCGAGGCATTTTGAGAAGGAGAAAACCGGCCGGAATAACGAAGATAAACATGATCTGAGTTACACACCGGTAATCTTTGAGCTGACTCTTTTTAACTCATTGCAAATATGACTGTTATTCGTTTTGAAATAACTCCTGTAATACTTTGCAATTGCTCGAATTCGAGCAACATGGAAGATAGTTCTGAATATTTCAATTCGGTTATCTTTTGAATCATGTTTATTGATTTCAGTTGTCATAGCAATAAATTTACAAGTTGAGTACTACTGTTCTGTGGTTAAAGTAGACTTTTGTAAAAGAATTAAAAAATCTTTTCTTTTTGTTTAAATTAATATGTTTAATTAATTACAAGCTGTTTTGCATTATATCAGGTACCAGTGTTAAGTTCTCAGACTTGATTAAACAGTATGGATGTATAGTCTAGTCAAGATATGAAAAAAACACTCTTAACCTAAAAAAAATTGCTCTAAAAGGTTTTTTGATGGTTTTCATTTCCAAAAAGTATGTTAAATAACATACTAAAAGTCTAATAAAATCGGAGTCTCGGAAATTGGGTTTTTCTAATATGGCGTCCAAAATTTAAAAAAATAATAAACCTTACTATTTTCCCTGTAAATTTTCTTCTGAACCTCCAATTTAGACCGAATTTGGTACAAACCTTCGAAACTGTATGTATTATCTATAAACTATTCATGATTTAAGATAAATAATATACAGCAAACGTGTTGTATGGGGTTGAAAATAGGTAAAAATCTGTCTTAAGTTGTTAGTAGTAAATAACTTATTTCAACTTTGGTCACTATAGGGAACAAAACTTTTTATCCCTAGTCTGTGCTATACCTATGTTGTAAATCCTTAAAAAATATATTATACAATTTAGTATTCTTAATCATTAAATTATCTTAAGTGGTGGTGGGATAGTTATAAAAAAAACTATGTAATTCTTATGGGAATTCTGAAAATTACCATATCTTAATTGTTAGTTGGTACGCTTGGATAACAATTCATCGTGGCCTGTATCGTCTCCACAGATACTAACACACACATATTTGTCATAAGCGAATTCTGTGTTGAGTCA